TCTAGTGTGAAAAATAGTTATCCGAAATGTGAAATGGTCGAGATTAAAAAGTATGATCAAATAAACCAATGCTATGTATCGTCGATTGATCAGACCGGTATAGATCCTGATCAACACAAATTCATCGTCCATAGAATAGTCAATCCAGCTTCACCTAGCAAAAAATGCTCTGCCTCAGATCTCAAACACCCATCTAAAATGCCTTTCTCAAAGACTCCAAAAAATCGGCTTCGATCTGAATACGACAAGCGGATAATACATAAGGAAATAGTCACTCAAAGAAGGGAATCTGCCGTTGATTTAATCCTTGATCGATTCAGGCATTGCAACCTGAATTCAGCTCAAGATTAAGTGTTTCCTACAAGCAAAATATAAATTAAAATTGGCCTTTTTTCGACAATCAAAGAAATAACGAACAAATCTTTCAATAAACAAATGCCTTAAATTGATAATTTTCGTAAATATTTCGACCATCCGTTTTAACGATTCCTATTTTTGGATCATCTATCTATTCATGTGTTCAATTTTTTCATGTGCTGCTGCTGATCTGACCAGTGTATTTCCTATTTCTGTCAAAACCAACTAATAAACATCAAAAACTCCATAATGTGAAAATTTTCTCTTCACTTTACTTTCACTCTCAACTGAAAATGTACCTTGAAATAAGTTGATTACAGTTATTTTTGTATGTTTATCTTAACAATTACATTCCTATGTCCTTATTTAAATATACTATTCAATAAATTCTTGTTTGTAGAATCATTATTTAGTACTTTGATTTATCAAAAAAGTGTATCTGGTGATTACTTTATAAAATTCCCTTCTCATAACCAAACAACTGTATTCTTTTGAAAAGACCGGTTAAAATTATATTGTATTAGATGGTTTATTCAATGGCTTCATCTATTAGATGTAGTCGTATAGTGACAAATTGTTGTTACGAAGCATCGCGAAATTTGAATCTTTTTAATTTAAACGGGAAGAGTTTTCGCATGAATTTTTAGAAAATGAACAATTCAAAAGTTTTGCCGGTCTTCCATTAATCACTTCAAGTTATCATCATTGACAAAATCAATAGATTATAAAACAGATTTTAGAAACAAACACTTACATGTAAATTCAAAATAAAATTCTTGCTAAGTTGTACGATTAGAGTTTGATGACCAGGTCACAATTTTCGTCAAAGTACTAACAAAGTAAAATTTACCAAAGTGCATACTGTTCAGCGTTCAAATGCTAACATACGGGGTGTTAAGAAAGTTCGTGTGAGGGGAAAAAATATTTCCCTTGCGCATTAAACATTTTTTGATGTTATGGTTAGGAAGCTGCTATTCCGCCCCTCACACGAACTTTCTTAACACCCAGATACGGCATAAAAATTACAAATTCACAGCAAATACCTATTTGCGAGAAAATTATTATTACGATTAAATTTTTTAAAACTCTTAATCTCCTTTTGATTCGCTAAAAATCTGAATTATTTTTTAAAATATCTGAATTCAGATTGCCGAGTTTTCAGAGATTTGAAAAGACCGGATAAAAAAGGCAAACTACAACACATCACAATCACTTTTCTTTAAACTAGGGATGTGCGATTTCCGATTTTCCCTGAGATCGATTTTCCCGATCAATTTTCCTCAGAAATCGATCGATTTTCGATTTCCAAAAACATAAATATATCAGAAAAAATTGCCTAAAAATACTCATTTTTAATTTTTTTTAAGACAAAAAAGTATCATCGGATCTGAAAAATTATCTCCTAGCTCTAAATATCGTGTTTTTAAGGAGATCGATTTTCTCTGGGTTGAGATCGATCAATTTTTGCGTGATGAAAATCGATCAGATCGATTTTAAAATCGGATCGGAACATCCCTACTTTAAACGCATGTGTAAAAAAACCTGGATTTAGTTTTCATTAGACATATAGAACCAATTTTTGTTCTTATCATCCGAAGAAGGTCATCTTCACTTGACTTTGTATCAAGACTAGTTTTATCTTAATTTATCCTTCTGTGATTTATTAATTAATTCAATCAATTAAATTTAAAAATGAGTTTATTAAGACGTGGTGTGGTTCTTGCCAACCGTATCACCCCTATGATTCAAAGTCATAGAGGTTTGGAGCTGAGCGAGCCCATGGTTGGATCACTAGCTGATAAAAGTAAGCAACATTTTCATTTTAACATTGGATTGATAGATTAATCTTATTTAAACGTTTCTTTGATTGTTAATTTAAATTATGCATAGGCCAGCAAAAAAGGTATGCTTCTCAATCATCCGGTTCCGTTAAAAACGGCAAAATAGTTGCTGTTATCGGTGCTGTTGTAGATGTACAGTTTGATGATGGATTACCACCTATCCTCAATGCTTTGGAGGTTGAGAATCGTAAACCCAGGCTGGTTCTTGAAGTTGCTCAGCACTTGGGTGAAGGTGCAGTGAGAACCATTGCCATGGATGGTACAGAAGGTTTAGTTAGAGGTCAATCAGTTTTGGATACTGGTGCACCCATTACCATCCCTGTAGGGCCTGAGACCTTGGGCAGAATTATGAATGTCATTGGAGAACCCATCGATGAAAGGTAACTTAAATGACCTTTTTAAATATTTCCAATCTTCAACATATTCGACCTCTTAGTCCAATTGTCTAATAACATCTCGTCTATTAAACATCTTTCAGGGGCCCAATCAATACTGATAAATTTTTAGGTATTCATCAAGATGCTCCTGCATATACTGAAATGAGTGTCGAGCAAGAAATTCTGGTAACCGGTATTAAAGTCGTCGATCTTTTGGCTCCTTACTCTAAAGGAGGTAAAATTGGTCTTTTCGGCGGTGCTGGTGTCGGTAAAACTGTATTGATTATGGAACTTATCAACAACGTTGCTAAGGCCCATGGTGGTTACTCTGTATTTGCTGGTGTCGGAGAAA